TACTGGAAAAATAGAGGCGAAGTCTTTAAATTGAAGCAGAGAGCTTTAAGTGAACGATCACCAATCAGAAGCTAATGGAATATTGTCTTAATAAAATATTTATAATGCATATTTAAATAAAATTGATAGAGAGGTAATGTCAACCCTCCAGAAAATCGACACTTCGAATTAGTAAGTAACTTTTTTGACAATATGAAGACACTCATGACAGATTGGAAGGGAATATAAGCTTCTTATATCCAAAATCATAAATCAAATAAAAATTGTCAGAACGCTCACTACTTGAGAATTATTATTTGCGCTCTAAGAATTATTTCCGGATTATAACAGCTTGGAAGAACTGATATTTAAGACGCATTTACAGAAAAGAACCCGAGAAATGAGCTCATTCTAATACTAACTATTAGCTTACTATTTACTGTTCCAAAACAAAGACGATCGGACGGAAATACTTAGCTGCACTAGGTTATTTAATGATCATTTCCGCACACTACTTTATAAGAAAATCCTTTATTCTTCTCGAATTTCGAGGAACCGGAAGAATTTTTAAGCATTCGAGGATTTTCATCTTGACAGCATTGTACAAAATTTTTTCTATTATTATATTAAAATAATATTTTTCTATTATTATACACAATAAAGAGCTCAATGATAATTATGCACTTAGTGTGGTAATTTTTTTATGAATATTCAATACTTAACTTAATATTATAAGTACTTATGCATTAATTGTTATTGGAAATGAGGTGCTGGAGTTGGTAAGGTTAATATACAGGCGGAGATATATGTATGTAAAGTAATAGATATAAATGTGCGCTTTTGCGAATATCATGTTCCCTCCGATTCTTAGTATGTCGTAGGTTAACGGAAAGTGCTAGTTTGGCTGGTTAAAAAATTTAACGATATTTAATATAACAAAATAAACCTAAGCTAGTGACATATTTCAGCGCTGAATATAGCTAATACAAAAGAACTTAAAAAATAGCAAACTAGTGAAAATGTTTACCCAAATCCATATTATATCTAAATAATGGGCGTATCTTGGAGCACTTACATACATATATTCCACACTTCAAAAAATTTCCTGCTTTTTATAAACCGATTTACCTAAAGTTGTGACATAAAACATATATTTTCCATAAATTCTTTAATTTAGAGATATTTTTTTAATCTTCCATTAATTCTACATATGATAGAACATTTTGTTAAAATTGTCTGCTTTTCTAGTTCAAAACGATTTAAATTCTAAAATGAAATCTTAGTCTCTAACGGAAACTTTTTATTAAACGTTATTAATAGTTCTTATATGATTAAGAAGTACTTCTTAATTCGCTTTTATCGTCATAATGCATTCTAAATTTTGAATTTAATTTAAAATTTTCACTTTGCTTCAGATCCATAATTCCACCTTCAAAGTAAGACTTTTGATCAAAAAATACCGAAATAAATTATTGCTGATGAGCATGTCAATCAAGGCGTATCTATTGACATATATAATTATCAAAATTTTCACCTCAGCTGTTTTAGGGCATCTTCGATTTCAATAAGTGTCCATATAAAAGCCAAACAAAATTTTTGTAATGGTAGTTATTAGAATAAATCAGTAGAATTGCTTGCATTTTCATACCGATTTAATTCTGCCACTCTATTGGACTTATTTTGGATGTTTGTTCGATTCACCACTTTTAATGTTGGATTAGTTGAAGACGATAAAAGATAGTTCTCACACTGAAAATTAGGAAAAAACGAGTACGTGACTAACAGTAACGTGAGATAACATATCTGAAACATATATAACATAATTTTCAAAAATAGTCAGTATTGATTTTTGGAAAATCTATTGACTTTCTGTGTGTTAACATTGAGAATACAACTTGTTTGATTGATATTCAGACCATTACTCCTCCCTAAAAATAATACATAACAATTACAATTTTGTATTTCATCCCCGTTTTATTTCTCCATGACAGAAATAAGAAAATCGGATCTTTAGGATTGCGATTTATTCGCAACCAAAATCAATTAAGTTTTATTGAAACTAAGTGCTCTTTAAAGAAATTATCTGTGGTAATAAAATGGGCTTTTATGTTCATATTACTTGAAATATCAATTAAAAAGTAAAATGAAATAAATTACTTGTGACTTTGCACCTCTTCTCTCTGCCAAAGGTTTCATTCGTTTTTACTATCCGAATCATTGACAATTTTCAGTGACCTACTCAATTTAATAGTCAACCGTGACATAGGAATTTCATTTTAATAGCCATTGGAACTCACATATACATACTATGCATATTAATCCTATATTTCTCTTGCAACACGACTCCTAGCTCATAATCACACATGTACTCATGTATCCAGCTCTAAGCGTTGTGCTATTATCGTTAATAAAAGCTCAAATATGCCGGTAAATTAACATTCAATTAAAAGATTCTTCTGTTCGCAACAACTCACAATCGCGTGAAAATGTAAATGATGGAACAATGATGAGTGCACCTGACCACTTTACGTACCGAGCACTTGTGAGTAGTAACGCGTCCATGTCGCGTATGGATATGTTTACCTAACTAATGGCCAAGAATTCAGTAAGTCATAGTGAATTAATGGTTGGTTTTGACTGAGTTGGCATATGAAACGAGTAATTGCTGAATTGCTGCCGCTTAGCTGTCATAGCTACTGCCAAAAGGAGTGTTTCAGCTGTCAGCTTCGTTTGCGAAACGTTCGGATGGAAGCGATGGATTAAAGCGACCAAGGCGTGTGCTGGCAGTGAAAAAGCGTCATTAGTAAAATGAGTTGCAGGCAACTTATCAGGCAATGGACTCGAGCGCTTACATGCTTACACATATATAAATATTAATTATGGTCGCTTGCGTATTGAACACCAATTGAAGGTTAAGTTTGAATGTCTGTCAAAACGGTATTTTAACAAGCAGAAAATGGGTATCAGAAATGATTCTTACGTTGATTTGGATACAATTTTTTGGCTTGGAAATGCAACCAAAATTATTGAGTTGAAGTGAGAATGGAATGGAAATATTCTAATAATAAGTAAATATCTGTAGTTATCTCAAACATATTCATTTAATTTATTTTAAATAACTTTTCGGTGATTTGGTTTATTAAAATTAAACGGTTAAGGACAAAAAATGTATTTAATTTTTCTGAACTTTTCTTTTTTTCAAGAGTAAGGTTATCGTCGGGAAGTCTCCCGCAGTAGATTTGTGACAGGTTAAAAGGGTTGAGAAAAGGGTGTTTCGACCGTCAAATTATTAATTTTATCTAAACCCAACACAACACAACAGTGAGGAGTGTTTCTGTCGTAGGACCATGAACTAATGTCCGAAAGTTGCCCTGGAGTACGGGACCTTTTCAAAAGAATAGCTATTGCATAATTATAAAATATCGGTATTTATTTAACGATAAATGTTGCATCATTCGTATTCATTGATTATGTCACAGAAATTACAACGATACTATACCGAAAACTTTATGTATGTATATTACATAAGGATTTTCATTCCCCACTTTTAATCATCTGTTATGGGAAATATTTTTGTTTTGCAGGAGTTTTATTGAAATCAAAACTAAAAGTATACAGAAATACAAAGACAAATTAAGTAAAATTCTAATTTCGTATAACTTCAAATGCAAATACACTTTTACCTGAGGCTCTGTGGTAGACTTTAGTATGTATGTATGTATGAATATTTTGAAACCCAACTTGCCTAGACACTTTGCATATGCCTATATAAATATGTATAAATACATACATTCCTACACATGGGTTCTCAAGATCTTATGTGCTGCGCAGAAAGTGCGATAAACATATACGTATGTTATATGCATAAATATAATACCCAGTCATGGCTGTTGTGGGTTATTGGCTTATCAAATGCGAACCCAACTAGAAATGTCTACGCTAAGAAGCGTGGCAAGCAATAAGCTTCCAACCTGCAAAAAATGTATGTGTATATGAATGTTCTCTGTAGACTGCAACGAATTTTTTTTATTGTATTTATGCGAAGCTGGATTCAAAATCGGAAGTTACTTTTTTGCTTTCGAGCATTTGTGTTTATTAGTTTGACAGCAGATTCAGAATCAAGCCTTCACATCTAACAGGTGCTTTTTAAGTACTTAACTGTTGTGGGGCAGATTACTACTCTACCGGTTTATCCGACAGTTAGCGGTCTGTTAGCAGTTTAGTGATATAATAGGCTATTTCTTATACTGATTGTGGAAGTATATTGGAGTGTGAAAAGCAAAGAGACACTCTGAATTCGGTCAATATTGTTGTTAGCTTATATTCTTTAGTATGCTTTATCATAAATACTGTCACACTGCTTGAAATCGCTTGATCATTTCCACATCTCTTATGTATCGACTGAATACTTTTTGGTTAATGTTTTGGGTATCAAATCGTAAATGAGATGCTTGGAAAAATAGCTGAGGACCATACATTCATTAAACCCATACTGATGACGATTCTAGAATTGGACAACATATTAATCGAAAAATTTTATGGTGATTGGAGCTGCATAAAGGAAATACAAGTAGGTCAGTTTAATAACATTAGTCGTCCAGATATCCAGATGTCATATTTAGCAAAAGATTTTATTAAAAATTCAGAAGCGCATTTTCATAACGAATACTTTTCGAAATCTGTTTAATTATTCTGGAAAACTTACCAGAAACTAACTGCTACAAAACCTACTAACATCGTTCAACTGTAAGGTGCATCTTGTGTTTATGTTTTCATAATGATTATGTTTCCAAAATTAATTTAATTTGTTCACAATTTTTTTCCTTTTCTCTTGAGACCTTTTAAGCCCCAACAAGCAATTGTCAAAGACGCCCGCAACTGTCAAATGCAATTTAAATTGACTTCTTATAACAAAGAGCGAACTCGTTGAAACTGTTTGCACTAATCACACCAACGCAAACAGCCACGTATGCAGTTAAATTTGTATTCGGATTTTCATTTCAATTTATTATAATGAATTTGTTATTATTTTTTACAAGTTTGGGCGTGACAGTGAAATTTGACGAGGTTGACAAAGTTTTACCGACTGTGGCGATGACAATGGCGGTGAATCAGGCGTTGCCGCAGTTGTTGCCACTAATGGAGAGATCTATTTTTTTTAGTTTTTTATGTTTTCTTTTGTGTTTTATGCAATTTATAATTTTTATTACTCTTTTGATCTTCAGTGTATTAAATTTGTTTTAGTAAACATTGTTGCCAACATACTTACGTACATATCTACACACAGTTCAATTTGTCGTTTTATAGCATTTTTCCTTTATTTATTAAGTGTCTTGTTCGCAATTAAATTGAAATATTGTCATATGTTATATTGAATATTCAAACGTTGCTTTTATCTCGCTTTATGCTCAGCAATTTTAATTTAATATGTTAATTTCATTTGAAAAAATATAAGAAAATAATATGAATTGTGACTGTGTACTTGGCTACGTCATGCAATCTTAGCGGAAATGGTAAGAAATTAAATGTTGTCAATGCCATAAATTGAAATTTTATTACTTATACAAGTACTTGGAGTTGCATAATCAACAAGAGTTTTGATTTCAAGTGTTACCACCAGGCATCAATTTGTTTTAATTTTTTGTATAATTTTTGATTTGGTTCTAGTTCAAGTGTTGGCATCAAGTATTACTTTTAAATTTATTTTGTTTTCTAAATTTTAGTTGCATGTAAGTAATAAAAATTTATTTGCCATATTTTAATTTAAAATCAGTTTTTGTTAAAAGTTTAGAGCTTCCTATCAGATATTTTTGTTTAACCTTGCATAATTTTATATTAATTATAAATTTTTATTTTTTCTGAAAATAATTTAAATGAATTTTTCTAAATTTTAGTGCTGCCACTGCGTTGCATTTTTACATTAATTTAATATAAAAAAAACTATTTTAGTGCTGCCATCTTACATTATGTTTTTAGATTTTCATATAATTCAAATAAATATCTTTTCTAGTTTTGGTTTTGCCACCATATATTTCATTAATTTGATTTTTGTTAAAGAGTTTTTTCTATTTTTTCGCTTAAAAGAGCCGCCTATTAAAAATTCTGTTTAAGATATATATTCACATGTGATTGTGTAATATTACTTTAATTACCTAGGTACATGTACTTCAAATAGAGCGGACATAAATAACGTTAAATAACTTAAGAAACTAAGCAATATGCACTTCAATTAATCAAATATAATTTTTTCCGCCTGAAATGCTTGTGATTATAGTGATTTTTCAGGGGCGTTGGCGCATAACATTTACTTCAAAACCAGTATAGTACTCGCATATTTATCAAACTACGGCCATGTTAAAGAAATAAATCACTGTCCCCTGATAATTTCTGCGAAATGGCATTTAAATATTTATTCATTTTCCATTAACATTTTCTGAGCTTATTTGCAGTCACTGAGTAACCGGCTGGCATTTGTAAAATATTTGCGCTTATTTGTTTGCGGTTTTTTCATTTTATTTTATTATTATTTTTTTGTTGTTTTTGCATTTAAATTATAACAATCACCACTACTTCAATGGCCCGCTCGGCAGCACGACTAAACGATTTGTTACACTAATGCAGGTGCAACAATATAATTGAATAAATTTCGGTGGCACTCGCAGATTGCGGCATGACAGACCGCGTGGCAGCTCCTTTCATTTCCATAATATACTTTATTACGATCGAAATGGAAAATGCTGCACAATGAGAGTTAATAATGTATGAGTATGTGTGTGTGGAATGAATTTAGCTAATTGAAAAATGTGTTTTATAAATTTTCAATGAACCAACTGTGTGATTAGATCAAGCTGGTCCACAAAGTTCACTATTTCCGAATTTGAAGTGTAGGCAGATAAAGTTAAACGAAGATATAAAACCTACTCCGGTAAGAATTAATTATTTTCAACAGATCAGTGCCTATTTATCTCAGGTATAGTGAGTATATTTTTAAAACCTATATCTCAGTGACCCCATTCTTCGAACAAGGAATCCCGTGGAAGATATACTTGCAAAAATTTGTTATATGTTCAGGGTAGACACAAAATCACTACTATACTTTGACCGAGATAAAAACTAAACTTATTCCATAAGGACATATTTTGGAGAGATAAAAATAAAATATTGGTTCTATTTATAGCGAGGCCTACCCGTAACTCGTAACACTAAGAGGTCAATATATTTTGTGGTAAATCATTCTTTATTTATTGAGTCTGCTTATTTAAAGCATTCGTTAAAAAGTCTTAAATCAATTTGATAACTAGATAAGCTCAAGTTGAGATTATTTCAGCAGTATGTAACTCATAAGAAGACTGGTAGATCTCTTCTTTTTAAGCGGATTACAGGATTATTGAAAGTCATTAGCTAATGGATTTGGATGTCTTGGAATTTAAGTTCATCCATCTGGGTCACTATAAAATTTTTCATTTATTTCTTTATACAATTTTTTTATTCCATTTAGGCATGATATTGTTAATTGGCAGTATTTAACCTCCTCATTGTTTGTGAGATATAAGAAAATTTAGCATTAGTAAGCGACTTTATCACTTTCTTATATCCATCCAATTCAAACATCCTTCCGCAACTCTCAATTAGTTTTATAGACTCTGATCGTGAATCGAACTGTTCATTTACTCGACTTTTGGTAAACAGTTGAGTAATGCTGTGAGGAAAGTTGTTATTATAAGAAATGCTTTAAGTATAAAAATTAATTTCGATGACCTCATCTATAATAAAGGCAACGACTCTCAAAGGTAAGCTATAAACTAATATATCAACCATTAGTGGATGAAAAAGTTTCTGGGTGTATTACTCTGGATCAAAACAAACAAGCACAAAGTCTGAGAGGAATAATTGCAGCGGGCAGTGCATCTGAGAAAAAATTGAAAACTTTTAATATGAGTGAAATAAGTGAGTTTAAATGGCGACCAGCACTATTTCTAGATGAACAAAGGGAGCACAAAAATATTAGTTAAGATTGCCATGATATATGGACAATATAAGCTCATATCAGTCTACAAGTTTTTAAAACAACCAAAAAATCTCTTTCGTCAAAAAAAAACAAATGAAATTAAATATTTTACTTTTTCAGTTACTAAACATTATTTTGGCATTCTTCGATTTTATGCGACCTTCGTGATCTCTCGTTTGAGCTATAAAAAATCACATGCAATCCGTAATTCGAAGGGAAGTGCTTAATATGCAAATATTTGCATTACAATAAATTAAATAAAACTAAAAAATAAATAAAACAAATGCTGCGAGGAAAAATATATTCGACTTTATTAATAGTTAACATAAAGCGTAAATATGACGATGTAAAAATAAATTTACCTCGCAAAAAAATTTAACAGAAAAATATTTTAGAAAATAAAATAAAATAAAGAAAAATATAAATGAATTTCTTAAACAAAACTGACCCAAAATTTACTACAAAAACAAATCAAAATAATTTATTCGCATTTTAAAGTTATTATTTTTATTTAAAAAAGAAATTCGATATTTTGCTGCAATTGGCTTGAATTATGCATTTGAAATTTGTATACATAAATATATATAAATGAGTGCATATTTAGATACATATTACATTTCAATACGTGTGTTTACAAATATTTGACTTTTGATATTCAATACTAACGGAACTTGTTTTGGTTGCGGAAGCAATGCAACTGTAGGTAAGTCTAATCATATTTGCAAATCTTGCACTTCTTTTTCTTCTTTTCTTTCAAAATTGTATTACTCTGGCTACTGATATTGCTTTGTATAGTTTTATTTATTCTTCATTACTTCAGACATATTTTATATTTTTTTAAATTAGTTTAAAAAAAATTTGCAAAAATTTATTTATTTTATTTTCATTGTCTAATATGCTCTTGTCACATAAATAATTAATTGCCACATAAATAATTTTTATCAATACAATGGAAATGTAGTTAAGTTTATATGTATTATTGTGAATTAATCGTTATCGTCATATTACGGTAATTTTTTCAAAATAGAGTTACAAATATGAACAAAATTGTTAGTGAATGTGCAGTGACAAACCCGTGGAATTTGACTGGAATTTGTTGAGTACAATGCGCTCTTTTGTAGTTCTGAAATCGATTTTGTTATAAAGAGTATCTTGTCATTACAGATTCGAGCCATATTTTTGTAATACTGGCTATATATTTATGTAGGTTTTAATGATTTCAATTTCATTGTACAAATTATTCGAAATTTCTACTATTTTCTGTCTTAATTCACAAATGCAAAAAAAGTGCTAACCGGTGCCACAAACTTCACTTTCATTTACTCCTGTACAATCAACAAAAAAAAGTTAATGAATTATTATGATGGCTCTTCTTGAACTCGAATCAGAAATGTTCATAACGCCTCATTCATTCAACCTCGTATTGCAATTGTGTTAAGGAAATGATTTTCAACTATTTAACCGACCGCCTTTGATTAGCTTCGCAGCGTGTTGAGGGCACCACAATTGCTCGCATTTAATGAACTTTTATCTTGAAGTTGTGCCGTTGATGGACCGATTGTTCACAGCGGTATGCGGTGCTAAATGGAAAAAGTAAAAGCGTACAAAAGAAATTATAAAACAATGAAGCATTTTCACCTTCGCCTTCATGAAGGCGAAAGTGTAGAATAATTCGTTAAGTTGGTTGGAGGAAATCAGCATTGATCTGTTTACTAATTTTGTTTAACGGTGCACAAAGGGCATGAAATTGTGGCGATGACAAGACAATTTAATGTCTGTTTTATTTAACAAAAAAAAACTGAAAAAAGAAATTTGTGACGTGAGAATTTGCAAATATTTAAGTAATTATGTACGTAAATGGAAATTATATATTCCTTATCTAGCTTTATATTACCGAACATTTTAAATTTATAATTTTGAAGTGAAATTGTGTTAAAATCGTGATCGTTTAGTAAAAATTTTGTGTTTTATATGATTTTTATTTCACGCTTCCGCTCGTGCGCCTGCCACACATGATCTTAGAGTAGCAATTCTGATAATTCACACTACCGTAACGCGTGTGTACTGTTAATATGAATGCCTGAAATCATTGGCACAGTGGGAAGTATTTAATAGAATTTAGTTTTTTATTAAAAAA